TGGGCCAAATGAGAATAGTTCAGTTTGAGATTATGGTCAGCATGGATGAGTTGGATTGAAGGTTCTGTTTCCATCTTGTATGACTCAATGACTCCAGTAACGATTAAAAATAATCCAGTGTGATGCCAGTTGCGAGTTCTTTAACCCATTTATCAAAAAATATTTCTTTTCAAAATAGCTTGGCTGTTTAAGTGACTCAGTCGGTGTTGACTCTGAATCAGAAGTTTTCTTTTTCGGGAGATGGGGTGGGGTCCTTATCCCAATCTGAGGCTTGACTTTCTGGACCATAGAAAGGGATTGCTCCATTAAGGAAGGTAGAAAAACAGGGGAGTCATCAGTGGTGTGTTCTGAGTGATGTTTGGCCTCAATCAATGTTAAAATTAAATGGAAGCTGGAAGAACAACATCTCATTTTCCACTTGGGAATTCAACAACCTTACTTTTTATTATAGAATCCCTACTGTGTGGAAACAGGCCATGCCGCCCAACAAGTCCATGCCGATTCTCCCACCCAGACTCATCCCATCCCTGTAACCCTGCAATTCCCAAGGCTAATCCATCTAACCTACACACTATGAGCAACAAAGGGGCGACAATGGCCTGGTATATTATTGCTGGACTGTTAATCCAGAGACCCAGGACCCACGGCAGATGGTGGAACTTGAATTTATTAAAAAAAATTCTGGAATTAAGAATCTAATGACGACCATGATCCCATAGCCGATTGTCAGAAAATCCTACCTGGTTCACTAACGTCCTTTAGGGAAGGAAACTGCCATCCTTACCTGGTCTGGGCCTACATGTGACTCCAGACCCACGGTCATGTGGGTGACTCTGAACTGCCCTCTGGGCAATTAGGGATGGGCAATAAATGCTGGCCTGGTCAGCGACGCCCTCATCCCGTGAATGGTTAAAAATAACTGAATTGTTTTAGCAACTGTAGGTATACAAAGATATTTTTATGAATAAAGTACATTTTTGAAATAAACTAAACGTGCAGGAGACACGAGAGTGAGCCAAGGATGTATTATCAGGTGTCAGCTGTAGCTCAGTGGCCTTACGATGCCTTCCCTGGGTGAATATCCCTTTCGTTACCCATCCCCCCTCTGCTTCAATCCATTCCCATTTGCCTGTTTCAAACATGTCGAAGGATGCAGTGAGAATTTTTTAAAAAGGAAACATTCCAAATAGGAAGGCGAATGGGATATTGTCCTTCATTGCCAGAGGGATGGAGTTTAAAAACAGGGAGGCTATGCTGCAGCTGTATAGGGTCCTGGTGAGGACACACCTGGAGTACTGTGTACAGTTTTGGCCTCCTTACTTGAGAAAGGATGTACTGGCACTGGAAGGGGGTGCAGAGGAGATTCACTCGGTTGGTTCCAGAGTTGAGAGTGTTGGCTTATGAGGAGAGATTGACTCGACTGGGATTGTACTCACTGGAACTTAGAAGAATGAGGAGGGGATCTTATAGAAACATATAAAACTACGAAGTAAATAGATAAGATAGAAACAGGGGGGGGTTTTGTTCCCACTGGCGGGTGAGACTAGAACGAGGGGGCATTGCCTCAAAATAAGGGGGAGCTGATTTAGGACTGAAATGAGGAGGAAATTCTTCACCCAAAGGGTTGTGAATCTGTGGAAGTCCCTGCCCAGTGAGGCTGCCTCGTCGAATGTTTTTAATAGATTTTTGAACAGTAAGGGGATTAAGGGTTACGGTGAGCAGGCGGGTAAATGGAGCTGAGTCCATGAAAAGCTGAGCCATGATCTTATTGAATGGGGGAGCAGGCCAGAGGGACTGAATGGCATACTCCTGTTCTTGTTTCTTACGTTCGAACGCTTTCATTCTGGAGTCTTTGAACAGCTGCTTCTTTTTCCTAAATTCAGCATTGACCGCCCATCCCTAAATTGGCCCTTGAACTGAAGAGCCATTTCGGAGGACAGTTAAGAATCAGGCACATAGCTGTGAGTTTGGAGTCACGCGTACACCAGGCTGGGTATAAATTTCCCTCCCTTGTCAGTGATAATCTTTTGCGACCATCGACGACAGTTGTCACGGTTGAATAGCTTTCGATTCGACAGCTTACGAGATGAATTGGAATTCCACCAGCTGCCTTGATGGGGTTCGAACATGCGTCCCCTAGAATACAGCCCGGGTCTCCAAGTCATATTAGCCCTGGGTTACCTGGCCTGCAGTAAAATTGAGTTTTCCGATTCACTTTCAGTCCACATAACTGAATATTAACGGGGCGAGCCCAATAGATCAGTGCGCTGTGGGTCTCCGCCTCCAAATGTCTCAAACCCAGAGCAGTAATTTTAAAAACACGCATAGAATCATCGCAAGATGAAGTCACGAGGACTAATCAGACACAAGATAAGACCCTCTGCTGCTAGCAATCACAGCCAACTACAACGAAAAATATCTCATGTGATCATTAAGCCTCTTACGTCTCTCTCTCTCACACACACACACACACACTTTAACATTGTCAGGATACATGCTTTCTGAACGCTGCTCGGCCAGGAACAGAGTTACAGACAGACTTGGCACTGGTTATGGTCAGTGTGTCCTTCCCCAGCGCCAGTGACACAATTCTGTAAGTGGGCAACACAATCATTTCCCCTCGTTTCCCTGTGATCAGCAGCGGGGTGGGGAGCAGGCTGGGAACGCCGAACGACCTGTTTCTGCTCCTGCGTCACATACTTTTCTTGTTCTGTCACCTTTTACCTTCCTTCCTGTTCTCCCTGCCAATCTACACTCTCTATCCCCCACGGCTTCTCTCTCTCAATGTCACACGGCATGGAAATAGACCCTTCGGTCCATCCAGTCCGTGCCGACCATAATTCCCAAACTAAACTAGTCCCACCTGCCTGCTCCCGGCCCATATCCCTCCAAACCTTTCACTTTTCACATGCTTATCCAAATGTCTTTTAAACGTTGTAACTGTACCCCCATCCACCACTTCCTCTGGAAGCTCATTCCATACACGAACCACCCTCTGTGTAAAAAATCTGCCCCTCGTGTCGTTTTTAAATCTCTCTCCTCTCGCCTTAAAAATGTGCCCC